GTGCGTGCGTACGTGTGTACGCGTGCGTGCGTGCGTGTGTGTGTGACCGTGACTTGAACCACGTTCATAATCGACAGCCATGTATAACAGAGCATGTACACTCACGCACACGCACATTTCTCCTATCTCGTTCTATGCAGGAGGCATCCGTGTTCGTGTTTGAGAAGAGGATAGCCGACAAGCTGCACAAGCCGAAGCGACGCGAGACGGTCACCGAAGTGCTGCGACGAGGGGTGCGCCAGCTGGAGAGGATGAAACATCCCAAGATCCTCCAGCTCATACACGGCGTCGAGGAGACCAAGTAAAAATCTCACTTGCTGCTACCTTGGAGTAATCATTCTGACTATTTATTACTAGTTATTCTGACTAATTATTACTAGTTATTCTGACTAATTATTACTAGTTATTCTGACTTATTATTATGACTATTAATTTTATTGACTATTATATGCATATTTTGAATATTTATGACAGAATGGTTACTCCAAGCTGCTATATTCGCTATGCGCACACACCGCGAACGTGCTGAGTTAACTTACATAGTTCCTCTGCTCTTTCTCTATGTAGAAGCTCTTGCGTGTGAGCGTCAAGGGCAGTTACTTGGAATTCAATTTACACGCCTGCTTTTTCACGCAGTCACATATACGTGAAACTCAATTGTCTGCCTGCGTGTCTCAGGAACGTGCTTGAAATGAACTCGTACGTTTACGTTTCGGCCGGGTAAAAAGGGCAGTTTGTGCTAAAAAAAAGGTCTAGTTTAAAAAAGACAGCGTGTTCTCTCTCGCATTCGCGAGTTAGCATGCTTCGCCTAGTACTCATTAGATCAGTTTTGCAAAGGAAAAACAACTAGGGTCATGCCTAATCCTACGTACGTTAGCGTCCTAGGGGCATGCCTAATCCTACGTTACTAGGTAATGAATTGTCCACAACATATAGCAATGCCATTTGTCGTTAAGGAGGTTTAGGATAGGGTTTTAGGGAGTAAGATTAGATTAAAGGTTACTTGTCCCAGCAGTTTTGAACCTTGCAAACCGAGACACCCACTCACGTATCTTCATTCGCATTCGGTAACGTAATGTTTGAAATTCAGTCTCGTGTGTGCTCGATTCTATTGCGTGCGCCTATTCAGTCGCGTGTCTATAGCGTCATTTAACAACGCATGAAAGGTCATCGCGAATGTTCATCGCACTGCAAAACGTAAAAAATCACGTGCGTGCTTCTCTCAGAAGGCGCGACCTTTAACAAGATGACATTTCTAGACTTTGCGCGTGGGAGGTGACATAATATGCTTACATAGCACACACTCGTTAACGCGGCTCTTACCGCATTCAACATCGGCTTATATGCAGTAACTCTGTTCTTGATATTATCTTGCGAATAAAATACACCGCACGGGCGTGAATTCCCCTCATATTCCTTTCTTCGGGATCTGCTACTAGTCCGATACTGTATTTCGCTCACGTGTTTCCACCGCTATGATAAAATTAAGACCTTAAAATAAACTTTTCTCGCCAGCGGAGCGGGCATTTCTCTATAGCGTCGGCTAATAGCTAATTAATGGCTAATAGGTTACAACCACGCCACGTCTACGTCACAGTCCGTTATCCTAATACAGACGTGCCGAGGTCTATACACTCTACTTTGCCGCATTGGCATGCGCAGAAAACGTTGACTGATTACTGGCGGCTATTTCTGATAGAGATTTTACATTTACATTTTCTTGAGGGTACTTGCGTGTGCCTAAGACGTTCTATTATTATTAATACGTTAGCGTCGCATAATTTGCACCTAATGAGTCGTTGTTTGTGTTTTTTGCTTGCCTCTTTTCATTGTTAATTTCTGCCGACATGAATATATATTGCTCATACATAAGCGCGCATAAAACACATCATACGCATATTTGCCCTCGTCCCGGGATGCTTATCTGGTTTGGGGTTGCATTTTCACGCCTATAAAGTTCATTTGAATATCAATATTTTCGCCTAAAGACACATCTCGCTAAATCACCGTCTCGTTCTTTGATACGAGATTTTCTTTTTACGTCGTTAGAAGCACAGAGAAAATTTTATTTCGCGATATTACAGACAGCGCATTCAGGCCGTCAGCTCGACTAACTGGCGGTATCGTGCGTACAGAACGCAGCGGTGATGTGAGGTAACTCGCGCCGACACCGTCAGTCTCTAGTTATTGTGTTTACACAAGCAAAATGAGCGTCTAAAGTACTTCTTCACTTTGCCGCCCGGCCTTTGGCGACTTTCGAATGAGGCGCGTTCGCGTATTTTACATGAATAAACGACATCGTTACGACTTCACGTCTTCGCGGTTCGCGTCTCGTCATGTTAAAACCTGGAACCCTAGGACGTGACGCGACATTTAGCGTGGGAATTGTCGTGATACAGTGTGTTCTATACAGTTCTATACAGTTCGATACAGTTCTATACTATATACATTGTTCACAGAGACACTGGCCGTGTATTGTATAGGCGCGTTCACACGGACGTTTTTGGCCCGAGCCTAATTAGGCCCGCGCCAGATTTGGCTCGAGCCGAGCGTTCACACGGACGTTTTTGGCCCGAGCCTAATTAGGCCCGTGCCAGATTTGGTCCCATCGAGAACGTCGGACCAGGCCTGAGCCAAATTTTAGCACTTGCTTTCGGCGAGCGGTAGAGCGGTAGAATCGGTTGAGCGGTAGATGCCGCGAGTGTCGAACGTGTACTTCGACGAAATAAAGTCCAAAACAGTATAAAAATTCGAAAAATTTGATCAGGATGCACGTTTTCAAGATTGATAATTGAACTCGGAACGTAAGTAAACACTCTGAATCGTACACCACGCCATCTCGCGACATACTGCCAAAGTATCTGTGAGATATTTGTGCAATAAGATGTATTTGAATTTGAATTTGAATTTGAATTTGACAGACAGTATTCACTTGCGTACGTGTGAACGCTCTGACTCAAACCGGCCCGAGCCAAATCTAGCCCATTTGGCTCGAGCCAAACCATGACCGTGTGAACGCGACTTATAAATGGTCGAGTGTGTGCGCTATTGGATCGGAAGTCTCTCGGGATGTCGATCGTACGCTATCTGTATCGTACGCGCATAACAAGCGGCAACTGTAATACAAGAATAAACGCAAAACCACTTAATCGAGTCGCGGAGGATTAGGAGAAATTGACTTTCCTATCTCGGAGTGGTAAATTATTACATCCTGCCCGCGTTGCTCCGCTCCACTGCAAGCCTCCCAATATTCATGCGTCATCATAATTAGCGCAGCTTCTCATTTTCCAAGTTGCCAATCAAGGTCGGATAGTCACATTGCCCCCTGGGTGCTAATCCACTGCTTGATCAAAAATCCCTAACGGGCCCGATGGGAAAAAACTCATCAATCTTGAAAGACGTTGGCTCGCGATCCCTTCGCCTCGTCGCAGGTGTTGAATTTCAGCGACGTTTTTTTTACGACAACTCATTACCACCTCCGCTTGAAAACAGACTCTATGCCATCGAAATCACTCGGCTGATTCCGTACATAGCTATCTCCCGACAGAGGATGGGAGCGGATTTATCCGAAGTGTGCCCCGAATCATCCGGCTCGCTATGAGGTGCCAGCCAATGCATGTACATCAACATTTCTATGTCTGCTCTGCTAGGGGGTATCCATGCAGATCAGGAGTAGATAAAGGGATCCTGATGCAGATGTATCCACATTGATATATCTGCGTTGGCGGTGCGGTACTATAGCAAATGTATCTACATTCATATGTCTACGTTGGTGCTGCGGTATTATAGCGAATGTATTCACATTGATATACCTGCGTTGGTGATGCGCTACCCGCGGCGCCTGTTTCCTCGCTAGACCTCATCGTCGCTGTCATTTGGCCCGGAGCATCAACGATGCCACTGCGCGCGTCTGCATGCGTGCGCATACTCCCACAGTGATATGTTCTTACTGCCCAGGCGTAATAGGAAAAAGCAACGCTATAGGGGGGTTTGTTTTCCGCGTCGGTTCGTTTATGGATCGTGGCTTGTACGTCGTTACTTCCTCCGTGGAGCATTTCCTGGATAATTTGGGAATTTTGAAATGCGAATAACGTATAGAATAACCACGAATAGAAGCATTCGTGTTAAAAAGTGGTAAAGTCCTAACGGTCCAACAGGTCTATACGTGGTTCCGCAAAATTTCCCCCTAGGTTAGCTACGATAACAGCAAGTGGCAAATATCTCTGAAATGAAATATAGATTGAAAATTATTATTGTAACACGAAACGCATAAAAACATCGCTTGCGGGTCCAGCAGTTTCAATGACGATGCTGCGTGCGGTTAAATTAAAATGTCCGTTGATATTCCATCAAATTAGATTACGATGTTAATATCACGCTTATTACCTCGATCGTGTCACGCTTCGAGCATTTGAGACAACAAAGTCACATGTTATGACAAGGTAATATCATAGTACAGTAGGTGCTGTACTCTTCAATCATAGTACAGCATACACAAGGTACCCGTATACATGATACGCAGACGCACATTAGCTAATGTGACAGCCGACGATACGTCTCTAAGATTACAGCCGAATGGCCTCTACATCATGATAGCGGAGCCAGAGCTACTTTCATCACGATACAGCCAGAACGTACTCTAATAGTTGTAAGCAGAGACGGCTACTCTCATCAGATACGTCAGACGCTCTCTACATCATGAGTGACAAGAAAAAAAAAAAAAAAAAACAACAAGAAAAAAAAAAAAAAAAAAAAATAAAAAAAAAAAAAAAGAAAAAAATAAAAAAAAAAAAAAAAAAAAAAAAAAAAATAAAAAAAAAAAAAAAAAAATAAGAAAAAAGAAAGCCGAACGCTACTCTAATTAATGATAAGCGAACGCTACTTACTCTGATTTACACCAAGAACGCCTACCTCTTACATTATGATACGCGCCGACGTACTCTCATATGAATACAGCCAGACGGGATACTTACATTAATGCTCAGCACGAGACGCTACTCGTAATATGATACAGCAGAACGTCTTCATGCATTTGTACAGACCGACGTATTAGTCATGATACAGGCGCGCTAACTGGTAATCATGATACGCAGCCAGAGCTATCTACTCATTGATACAGCTCGAAGCTACTTAATCATTGATACAGCCGGAACGTACTTATCATAATAGTACGCCAGAACGCTACTTTACATCATGATACGGCCAGCCAACGACTACTTACATCTTGATACAGCCGAACGTACTTAATCATGAACAGCCGAACGCTAATATACATCATGATACGCGCAGAACGCTAATCTCATCCATGATACGCAGCCAGAAACTATCTTCATGTACAGCGAACGTATCTACAGCATGTACAGCCGAACGCGACTCTACTCATGATCAGCCGAACGCACTCTACTATGATTACAGCGCGAACGCTTCTAATCAGGATAGAGCCGAGAACGTACTCTACATCATGATAGCCGAGTACTCTACATTATGGTACAGCACCGAACGCTACTTAATCTGATAGGCCGAACGTGCTTATATGATACAGCCAAGGAAACGCTTACTTGAATCATGTACAGCCGACGTTGACTTACATCATGATACAGCCGAACGCTACTCTAAATCATGATACAGCCCGAACGATACTCTAATCATGTACAGCCGAACGCTATCTAAGGCATGAATCAGCCGGAACGCTCTCTACCATCTGATTAAGCCGAACGCTACCTCTACTCATGATACAGCCGAACCCGCTACTCTAACATTCATGATACAGCGCAGAACGTACTTACATATGATACATGCCGGACGTACGCTACATCATGATACAGCGCGAATTGTATCTACTTGATCAACCAGACGCTACTCTACATCATGATTACAGCCCGACGCTACTCTAATCATTTGATACGGCGCCGAAGCCTACGTTACATCATATACAGCTACGAACGTACTCTGACATCATGATAGCGGACAGACGTACTCTAACATCATGATAAGCCGAACGATCTCACTCATGATACAGGCAGGAACGTATTACAATATGTACAGCCCGAACGTTACTTCTGCATGCATGATACGTAGAACGTATCGTCATCATGAGGGGGGGGGGGTGTACAGCCAGACGCTAGCTTACATATGATACAGGCCGAAGCTATATACATCATGATACAGCCTCGACGATACTGTAGTGGAGTTGTACAGTCGGAATATGTATCTACATCATGATAAGCCGAACGACTACATTCATGAATACAACCGGAACGCTAACTCTACTAATTGATAAGCCAGACGCTCTCGTACTCATTGTACAGCCCGAACGGGGTATTATACTATATACAGCCGAACGGTATTAATCAGGATCAGCCCGGAATGCTTAGCTACTCATGATACAGCGCAGAACGCGACGCACATCATGTATACCAGCGAACGTACTCTAATATGAGGACAGGCCCGAACGCTACTGTACATCATGATCTGTATCATGATGTAGAGTAGCGTTCTGGCTGTCCCGAACGCTACTCTACATCATGATACAGCCCGAACGCTACTCTACATCATGATACAGCCAGAACGCTACTCTACATCATGATACAGCCCGAACGCTACTCTACATCATGATAGAGCATGCGCAGTACTCTATATCACGATACCAACCTGTACGGTGTTGATGCCACAAACATTCTGATCGTATCGTTTGTCTTATTCGTAACTGTTTCCCTGACTTTTAATGCTACTGCTCATGAAACCTAGTTGCGTTAAGTTTCAGTTCGTGTAGATACGTCGGGAGACACCCGACTGTGTGTAGGCACGTGATCGTATAGGTGGTAATGTTCTAAACCTTGCATTGTGTTATTGTTCTTAACCCGTTGTTTCGTTTCGTGCTTGCGTTTTCGCTTGAAGGATGTCAGCTTCTCTTTATCTCTCGTGCGACGTAAGACGAGTGACGATGAAGATCACAGTAAAGAGAACACGTCTTTGTTGTAACAGACTAGATGATTTAGTCTACGTATAGAACTACATGACTTGACTACGTAAAACTACCTAGGATAACTACGTGTGGCTACATGCCACGCCTGAACTACTCGCGGTGTCAACCCGCGCCTGCGCGCGTCGTGCGCGGACTCACTCTCCTAACTGTTCTCTTCTGTGTCTCCTCTCGCCGCCGGCACGGCCCTTTTATCTCGTGCGCGATGCGCGTTGCACCAAGCTCTATCCCATGCCCTTCTGGGCTCAGCGTCCATCATTATTTTCCCTGGCAACGCGACTACGCAGTTAAAACTGACATCCTGCTTCGCCACACAGGCTAGTGTACGCGTACTCAACATGCCATAAAAAAATGTACAATGTGAGAAAAGCTATTAATTTCTCCACAAACGATTTAATTAAACGATAAACTTTTGATTAAAACTATCCGCGCACTGTTACACTCATTATCGTAAAGCGGTGATGTTTCTGACTGGATTGTCGTGAGATCATGGTGAGATTATGATTAAGACTAATAATACTCCTAATATCGTATTGATAACGGACCCTCTTACTTAATAAACTAAGTGCTGCAAGCCTATGAAAACACACTTCGTATAAACGGAAAGCAGACTCCGCAAACAAGTTGTCTTCTATTGTCTCGGTCAACAGATGAGGCAAAGATCCTTATCATGATTGCATGGAATTATATTCACATTCGCTCTCATGTTCTTCGCGTTATGAAAAAGCTCCACGCGTGAATTTTAAATCGAGAGCAATCGGATCGTTGCTATACCCGAAGCAAACTGCCATAATCTCGCTGGCAATATTAATACGCTATGCCGAAGTCCCCAGTATTTAACGCGACTGCCCTGTGTTTGATATTAAACCGGAGCCTTGTCGTGTTTGATGAAAACGAGATGTATTAACTGCGGGATTTTTAATGTAAACTTTAATGTGCCCGCATAGGCAATACGCGTGCAGCTCCACTGGTGTTTATTCTATAACCTATTTCATTCGAAACCTGAGCCGATGAAATTCATATTAGCGGATCACCAGCGCATGCGCCGTCATATGACATAATTTTTTTTATTTTTTTATTTTTTTATTATTTATCATTTAACTCATCGAGCGCGTCTGCTTTTTTACGACAGCGACACGTTGGCGTTTGCCACTGAACCGGTGCTTGCCAGTCTGGCAAACCTCACAGGCAACCATGACAAGATACCGCATCCCGTTGCCAGTCACATCAAGGTGAGTAGAGAGAATCTTCCCTCCCCTCACCGCCGCTGTTGCTTAGCCGCCAGGATTTTGGGATTCATTAAATTAATAACTTGCTATAATTAAACATATATAATGCAGTTATTGCTGTAATAAGATCTCGGAGAGCGTTGTTACAAACGTTTAAAATAGTTATAATCTCACCATGTTTAGTATATCGCAACGTTTCTACATGAAGTGGCGGGAAACTGTGGTGCATCTCGCTCGCTCTCTCATTCTTTCGCTCATAGTTCTCAATTTTACTTGCTCATCTCTCTCGATCCGCTTTGTTTCCTCTGTCTACCGCCCTTTCCCCCCTCATCTCCCATTCGCATTCCCTATCCTCTCGCTCTCTCTTTCTGTCTTTCTCTTTCTCTCTTTCTCTCTTCTCTCTCTCTCTCTCTCTCTCTTTCATCTCTCTCTCTCTCTCTCATCTCTCTTTATATATTATATATATATTATTACTATATATATATATATATATTATGCTCTCTTTGCTCTATCTCTCTCTTCGTCTCCTTTTTCTCTCTCTTCTTATATCTATTAATTATATTATATATTGTTATCTCTTCTCTCTCTCCCTCTCTCTCTCTCTCTTTTCTCCTCTCTCATCTCTCTCTCTCTCTTCCTTCTCTCTCCTCTCTCTCTCTCCCTTCTCTCTTCTCTCTCTCTGCTCTCTCTCTCTCTCTCTCTCTCTCCCTTCTCTCTCTCTCTCTCTCTCTGCTCTCGTCTTCTTCTCTTCTCCTGCTTTCTCTCTCTCTCTCTCTCATGTCTCTCTGTTCGCTCTGTCTCTTGTCGCTCCCTTCTTCTCTCTCTCTCTCTCTGCTCTCTCTCCCTCTCTCTCTCCTTCTCTGCTCTCTCTCTTCTCATCTCTCTCTCGTCTCTCTCTCTTTTCTTTCTCGTGCGCTCTC